TGAAAATTGCGGCCGCTCTCACAGCAAATCCGAAGCCTGTCCAGCCAGAGGTCAACCCTGCAATTATTGAAAAAGAAAGGCCATTTTATTCAAGTCTGCCAGAAAAGAATGCGATCAAAACAAAGAATTCACGAAATTCAAGACACTGCTACATCATTTGAAGAAAATTTCGAGACCTTGGCATTTGAGCTTATCTGCATTGGAAACATAAATCAAGAAATCAAAGCACATAAAGATGAAGTATTTGCTACTGTCAATGTCGACATCGCCGGAAGAGGAAGAGGAAACTACTCCAAAAGCAAAGATTGACACGGGAGCCCAAGGAAATGTGCTACCCCTCCGCATCTATCGCAACATGTATCCCCAAAATATCAACGCCAACGGCAAACCAAGGCCAAGAACACTGAACCAATCAAAAGTCATCCTAGTAGCATATGGTGGCTCAGAAATCAAGCACTTCGGTTCAGCCAAAATCCCATGTGAGTTCAAAGGCATCAAGATAACAGCAACCTTCTATGTCACAGACACCAGCGGTCCTGCAATCATCGGTCTTCACACCGCAACTCAACTCAACCTTGTGAAATTCAATCTCAAAGTGAAAAAATCTCCACAACCTGAACTTTGTGCTCAATCAGTCAAATCAGCACCAATCAGAAGCAAACAAGATCTCATTGCACGGTACCCAGAATGCTTTGATGGAATAGGAAAGCTCAAGGGTGAGTATCATATCACCTTGGATCCTACCTCCAGTGGTCCATCCCCCACGCAAAGTACCCATCAGCATGAAAGACGAAATCAAGGATGAATTGGACAACATGGTAAAGAATGACATCATAGCAAAGATACAGGAAGGCGAACCTACGGCTTGGGTCAATAAACATGTCTACCGACGAAAGGCAAATGGAAGGCTCCACCTCTGTCTAGACCAAAAGACCTAAACGAAGTGATTAAGTGTGAACACCACGTCACCCCTACTCTAGAGAAAAATCTTCCCAAGCTAAATGGAGCCAAAGTATTCTCAATAGTCAATGCGAAATGTGGCTATTGGAACATTATCTTGGATGAAGAATCAAGTTACCTTACAACGTTCAACTCACCTTATGGGCGTTACTGTTTCAAGAGAATGCCATTTGGACTGAAAATGTCGCAAGACATTTTTCAAACCTGCATCGACCAAACCTTTGAAGGATGTCATGGTGTCATTGGCATTGCAGATGATATTGTGGTCTACGGAGATTCGGAAGCATCACATGACGCCAACATGCATAGTATGATCAGTCAATGCAAAGAAACTGGCCTGAAGTTGAACCCCGACAAATGTTTCATTAAACAAGACCAGATCAAATTCTATGGAATAATCTGTACCAAGGATGACATCCAACCAGATCCTAGCAAAGTGTCAGCACTCAAACAGATGGCACCACCAGCGAACAAGCAAGAAGTCCAGACCTTCCTGGGGATGGCAAATTACACAAGTCCATTTATACCCAACTTGAGCACCCTGACCGTACCACTATGAGAGCTAATCACCGACAAGACACCATTCTGTTGGAATGCAACGTACCAACAAGCCCTAGACAAAATCAAGGAATCTGTAAGCAACGAAGTAACGTTAACCTACTTCGATTCAACAAAACCAATTGTCCTTCAAGTCGATGCATTGCTTTAAGGACTTGGCGCGGCCTTGTTGCAAGATGACAAGCCTGTTGCCTTCGCAAGCAAAGCCTTGATTTACACAGAGAGGCGTGATGCTAATATATAGAGAGAGATGCTAGCTGTCGTTTACGGATGTGAAAGGTTTCGCACTTACCTGTTTGGCCATAACTTCACTGTTCAGTCTGACCATAAACCGCCCGAGAGCATACACCTGAAGCACCTGACAGCAGCTCCACCCCGACTTCAACAGATGCTACTCAGGCTCCAACCATATGACCTTGTGATAAAGTATCAGCCAGGAAAAACTATGGAAATGGCAGATGCTCAAGGCATGGACGTCCAGATACATGAAATATGCCCTCAATTCAGCAACGACATGATCAAGAGAATCAAGGAGGCTACAGCGGCCAATCCAGAATTAAGCGCATTGAAAGAACAAACATACATCGGTTGCCTTTCAGACATCAAAGGAGTACCAGCTCTCATTAAGCCATACTGGGCATTCAGAGATGAAATATCCATAGACAACAGATTGATAATTTATAAATTATCTCAATGACTCCGATGTCTTATGTGATAATCAATATGGCTTTAGAAAAAATCGCTCTCCTAGCTTTGCGCTTATCGATTTGTGTGACAAAATTTCTTCTGCATTTGATAGGACACAATTTGTCGAATTTAATAACGTTAGAGAACATGGCGGCGTGGTTGGCAGCTCTCTGCCGGCTCCTCACAACTTTACTTGTCATCTCCCTGTTTTTCAATTACGTTTCAAGATTCGCTTAAATTGGAAACAGACCGTTTAGGGGTTGGTTTCAGCGAGTTTATGGCAGTCTTAACGACTCCTTCGACTCCTTTTGACAAGCAAGTACTTGGACGGAGCGGCAAGACAGACGCCATTGGGATTCCTATAAGTCGAAAGTTAGCTTTGGGCGTGCGACTAGTGAATATGGCACTGATAACAAACCTCCTCCTGTTGGCGAATGATGTTGCTACAAACCCGGGACCTACACAAACTTCCGCTCATTTTTCGTCTTGCGACTCAAGCTTTTCATCCTGCTTTTCAAACGAGTCTTTTCGTGTCCGATTCCTCGGCGGTGTCCGACAACGAGGACAGTGTTCTATCTACATATTATGATCTTGGACTCGGTGATCGAGGACTCAGGCTGGGACACTGGAATGTCAACTATCTCACTATGGCTAAATTTGAAGAGATAAAACTTTGTTTACTGAACGCAGATGGAAAACCACAGCTTGATATTTTATTCCTGAGTGAAACGTTTCTGAAAGCCAGTGACTCGGACACGCTCTACAGTGCTATTGGATTTAATACACTTGACGGGATCGAATGACTGACGGGGCGGCATTCTCGCTCTTGTTAACAATGAACTAGAGTTCAAAAGCAGGATGGATCTCGAACAACAAGGAATTGAATCTATTTGGTTGGAGGTTTCGCCCTATA